TAATGGAGAAGAACCCACCACAAGCAAAACCCAGGAGATACAAACAGGAAAATAGTATTTTGAAAACCAAACACTTAAGAAACAAATCACATCATAAAGCATAAAAGCAACCCATTGATTACATATGCGCACACAAACAATTAAGGAAAAAAAAATACCGGCAAAAGAAGCATACCGTGATTGAAGCCGTAGAAGGCACCAGCCGTACCACCGACCGCCGATCCTATCTGATTCAACGGCAAACATATAAAAGGAACACAACAATTCCATATCAAAAGCAGAATAAAAAGCTCGAGTATTCAAAAAGGTGAGCGCGATTGTAATTCGCACCATAGAAAAGCTGTCTCTGATGAGCGGTGGTACAGTCCATTCGCTTGTCTCCTGCAAATCATACCGAAATTCAGATCGTCGGAAATTCATGAGCTAGAGATACACTTTGAAATATTTCTTGGCTGTTACCATCTCTTTGGTGAGGGGCCCCGCGCAGTGGGGGCACCGAATCTTCTGCGGGTCGGGCTTTCCTCGTTTGGAATTAGGGTTTGGATCTCCCACCATGGCTGAGGTACAGTGAGCTCGGTATAGGGTGCTGTTAAATTAAACGAGCTTGGCTCGGCTCGGCTCGAGCTCGGCTCGAGCTCGAAACCTTAAAGCTCGTTTGGTTAACGAGCCGAGCTCGGCTCGGCTCGTTAAGGCTCGAAGAGTGAAATTTATGTAATTTTTATAGTTCGGCTCGTTAAAACTCGAGATCGACTCGTTAAGGCTCGAGCTCGAGGCCTTAACGAGTCGAGCTCGAGCTCTATTTTTGGCTCGTTTACTTAACGAGCCGAGCTCGGCTCGGCTCGTTAAGAGCTCGAGCTCGAGCTCAAACACCTTAAGCTCGAGCTCGGCTCGGCTCGTTTACAGCCCTAAGCAGATGCAGTGAGGACTTCTTTTTTTTCATACAAATCGGTTAATTTAGGTAAAAATTCGACACAGCCAGTGAGCTCGGTATAGCATATGTAGTGAGGACTTCTTTTTTCATACAACTCGAGTTAGTTTAGGTAGAAATTCGAGACCACAATCTTGTAAAAGTCAAAATTCTCTCAATTTTTGTAAAAAAAAAAATTATAAGTCTTCTCTCAATTTTTGTAAAAAAAAATATTTGCGATAAAATCAGAAATTTCGAATTGAGGAAAAATAATATAACATGTATCTTTATCTAATTACAACGGATCATATTTATTAAAAAAAAAATCGGACTCCATAAAAATCATGCCCAATTTCAAATTGAAAATTAAAATTCAAAAATTCTCTATCATTTGACTATTACTTTCTTTAATTTGGATTTTTTTAAACATAAAACAAAATCAAATAATATTCATTTGAATTTCAAACGATATCGAATTGAAACATCCTTAAAAAAATTGAGTTTTGTTTAATCCTCTAGAATACAAATTGAAATAGATTGCATAAACTTACACAATTTTTCTCTTTCTTAAATTAAGTAATTTACAATTATAAAATAATAAAGTTATAGATTATCAAGAAAGATGTTTTACAGTCTCGGTTATATTTAGCTATGCAATCTTCATAAAACAAATATAAATTATATCATATATATCATGCTAAATAATTTAGTTGATTTATTTTAATATGCTTTGTGGCGATAGACGATGTACCAAAAAATGAAACAAATAATGTTGTGTGCAAGTGTGTTCAATAATATATAAGTCCTATTTTGTTTTATTCCAATATATGTGTTTTACAGTTCTTACCATCATCCAATCACCTAAATCTAAATTTTTACCTTAATAAAACTGGCTCGTGCATCGCACGGTACCGTGCTAGTAGTTATCGTATCGACCAACTAAATGAAAATGCCACATAACATGATTTGTGCATCAAAATATATTTTCATCCATCAATTCATCATAATCTATACTCTGATTAACGAATTAAATGCAAATGCAAGTGGCTATTAATTAGTAATATTATTTATATTGAAATCCGCATTAAATTCGGAACCATACTCGGTGATTAAAATAATAGTTGCATGCAATTGGATAAGAAAAAAAAAAATGGATAGAATTTACATGTCACGATTTCTAATCATTTTGCAATTTTCGTGACTTACACCAAATTGATCATATATAGCAATTTTAGATCAAGAAATGAAGAGAAATCCGTGTGAACTTGGTAAACCCATTAACGTATAAATTATATGACACCACATGTGGTATCATATTGTGGTGCCACAACATGATGTGGCACATTATGATTGGTGTCACAACTATTACACATCATGGCACCAATCATAATGTGTCACATCATGTTGTGGCACCATAATATGGTATCACATGTGGTGCCATAGAATTTCTGCCCATTAACGTAGATGAATAGGATAATTATAAAATTGAAGGAAATGTTACGGTCTCGTTACATAATCATTCTATCGGGGTTTTGTAATCGTTAGATCATCTATCCTCGACGGTTATATGATGATTTAACGATTATAAACTCCGACTCCGTAATGGGATCGTAGCATTTTCCTAAAATTGGAACCCTCTAAGTTTCTTACCAATTTTTTTTTTTTTTTTTT